TGGACATGTCCTGATTTGATTCTTCATTATTATAGACTGTGTCGTTGTGAATGCCCATGTTCGAGGCTCTGTACTGTCGAGGTTGGTGAGAGTCAGCGGTACGTACCTTCACCCTTACCTAGGTACCTACCCAAGGTAAGTAGGTAGGTAGGTACTCAGGGTGGTACCTGCTGAGCTCGAGCTCCAGCTTCAGCCAATGAGGGGCCGTGCACGTTTGACGTTGAACACCACGACAAGGCAGCCAGCCTCGCCCATGCTGTCTCTCCAGCCAGCCTCGCCCATGCTGTCTCTCCATCCAGCCTCGCCCACGTTGCCTCTCCATCGAATCATCCACCGACTGCCACTCGACATCATCGCGACCCTCGCCATCCATCCCATACTGCAGCACCACAAGCCAAGCCACATCCATATCCACACACACGATGCTCGTCTCATTGACGGTTGGCAAGGTCGACGCCGGCGTCACGGTGCTCCTGACGCCAGATAAGCGCCTCGTATGTCTGACTGCACACCCATTCCATCAACGTATAGTTGTCCCCGCCATCTGACGGCACAACCTAGATCGAGTTCCCCTCCATCCTGCTGCCCCCGAACATCTCCTCCGGCAGCATCGTCGACATCACCGTCGGTCGCAACAACGCATCGGAATCCGCCGCCGAGCACGCCTTCCGCGACCTCCAGGAGCGCATCTACGACGCCTTTGGCGCCAGCGAGCCCGCCGTGCCGGTGCTGCGCTGCCGCAACGCCACGCAGACGAGCGTCGTGCTCGAGTGGGACCCCGTCGAGCTGGCGACGGCCGACCTGCTGTCGCTGTCGCTCTTCCGCAACGGCCAAAAGGCCGGCAGCATCCCGCGGCCCCTGCACATGCACAGCACCAAGATCAGCGGCCTCGCCGTCGACACGGACTACACCTTCCACCTCGTGCTGCGCACCACCGCCGGCACCTTCGCCTCGGACAAGGTCCACGTCCGCACCCACAAGCTCACCGACCTCAGCGGCATCACCATCACGCCGGGCGTCATGCCGCAGCAGACGCGCGACGCCCTCGCCGCCGCCGTCGAGCGCATCGGCGCCAAGCTGGTCGACGGCGTCCGCATCGACACGACCCACTTTGTCACCACCGAGGGCCGCGGGCCCGCCTGGGAAAAGGCCGTCGACACCAACATACCCGTCGTCCGCCCCGAGTGGGTCGACGCCTGCGAGAAGAACGGCCGCATCCTCGGCGTCACAAAGTTCTACCTCGACGCCATGCGCCCGGGGCCCCCGACCCCGGGCATCGAAGAGCCCTCCCAGAAGGACCTGCCCGCGCCGCCGGCCCAGCAGCAGCAGCAGCAGCAGCAGCGGGTACCTCCAGCAGCGGCAGCGGCAGCGCCAGAAGCCAGTGCGGCCGACGACGGTCCCCCTGCAGGATACTCTGCGGCGCCTGCCCCTACGAGCGGTTCGGCCAGCGGCGACGAGGACGAGGTGGAGGACGAGGACGAGGAGGACCAAGACGAGGGGAAGGACAGCAAGAGCAGTCCGACAGAGGGAGCTGCCACTACGGAGCCCAAGACGCGCGCAGCCGAGCAGGAGGAGCAAAAGGTGCGACTCGAGGACAAGAGCGAGCAGAACCTGGCGTTGCGACCGGGCGGGCCCAGCCAGGGCTCGCTGTCGGCGGCGGCGAGCGAGGACGGCCGGGGCGACGAGGACACGCCCGACCAGCCCGGGTCGTCGAGCAGAGCGTCGTTCCAGAACGTGGAGCTGTAACGCTCGGGAGCCGTCTGACGGGGCGGTCGAGATGTTTGCTAGAACGTAGATGCGCGTTACTGTCACGGGTGTGGGCGCTCAGGCGCATTGAAGCAGGACATGATGAACCCACTCTGGTGCTGGTGCCGTCTTTTTCAAAAACTCAGACGTGTCTGCTTTAAGGTATCTCGATCGTATCAACACATGCCCAATCTGCTAGCACGCCCAATCTACGGCTTGATCTCCTTACCCTGCCAGTCCCACAGCTTGCCCCTGCCCTCGAGGCCGATGCCCGTGCTGACGACCTCAACGAGGCGCTCGGCCGCATAGTCGGGCTCCAGCAGCCGGCCCTCGGGCACGCTGTCCCAGAAGTCGCGGCTGAGGTCCGTCTTGACGGTGCCGGGGTGGAAGGCGACGGCGACGGCCTTGTCGCCGCTGCGCGTCTTGAGGTAGTTGTCAAAGCTCTTGACGAGGCTCGACACGCCCGTCTTGCTCGACCGGTACGAGTACCACCCGCCCGCGCGGTTGTCCGTGATGCTGCCGACGCGCGCCGACATGCTCAGCCACGTCGCGTGCCGGGGCAGCGTCACTTTTTGCGCGCCGGTCTCTTCTTCCCCAGGGGTCTCCTCAGGGCCCGCGAGCTGGGTCGTGTTGCGCGGCAGGAACTCGTGAAAGTGCTTCATCAGCATGAGCGGGCCGAGCGTGTTGACCTGGTACGTCGCCAGCGCCCGCGCGTAGTCGACCTGCGCCGGGTTCTTCTCCGGGTGCAGGATGCCGGGGATGGCGAGGGCGAGGTGCAGGTGGTGCGTCTTGCGCGGGAACAGGGCCGCCGCGCGCTCGGCCGCCGCGGCCATCGTGTCCTCCCTGGTCACGTCGAGGGCCACGACGTGCAGCCGGTCGGCGGCGTCCTGGGGGGCCGATGCGAGGAACCGGTCGCGCGCCTCGGACGGCGACGAGCGCGTTGTCGCGAGGATCGGCAGCCGCGTCGTGCGCAGGAGGTGTGCCGTCAGGGCGGCGCCGACGCCGCGGGACGACGGCGAGATGAGGATCCAGGGGCGCGACATTGCTTTGGGGCGGTGGTGCGGGGAGTGCTGCGTTTGCTGAGCCCTCAATGTCTGCTGATGCTTGGATGTGGTGATGCTGATGCCGGTGATGTGTGAGACAGCGTTGAATGCTTCCCACCAGCCCAGATCAACAATGAGCAAGCTGCAGCTACCTATACATCAATCGACGCCTCCCGCCTAGCGTTGCATCGGCAGTCAATTGAGCAATTCCACCTCATACATCGTAATGGACTTTGCCATGTCGACAGTCGACGACATCATGACTATTGTGGAGTGCGTGCCGGGATCGACGTCATGACGTTCCGGGCCCCCTGCGCGCTCTAGCTGCTTTCGTACCAGCCTCTGATCGGAAACCATCCCAGAGCCAGAGATCTCGGGATACTACGCCAGGGGTAGCGAGATCGATCCTGGAGACAAGCTCCGGCCCCCAGACCCAGACACATCATGGTCTTGGTGATCGCTGTGAGGAGGACAAGTTCCCAGCGCCAAGATCACTACCTTGCATGTTCATGGAACGCATTGTATAGCCAAGTCGGCCGTGTTGCTTGGAGAACTATGTTGTCTTCATACATGTACAGAAATGGCCACCGCGCAGCGTGCGCAGAAGCACCAAGTTTTCGGGTATATCCGCCCATTCGCCTCATCAGGACGCCGCCTTCCAAATCATTGCAGTCGCCTTGCCGCCCATGGATAACGGAGGAAATATAACAAAAAGAAAACAAAACAAAAAAAAAATGGCATGCTCACTTGAAGCCCCATGGATCCACCCAGCCTGTGTTGTTATGCTTCCCATCATGTCATGTTCTGTAGACCGTCGCTCATCTCATACTCATCTGCTCCAGCTCTCCGTGCATTTAAAAAAAGAGAAAAAGAAAAGCCCTTCTTCGTCAAAGGTTGTGCCGTCTGGGGGTATCTTTTCGCGTGGTAGCATCCAGCCCACGATCAATCTCTGCGTCCTATCCTTTTCAAGTCATTCGTTCAAAACATGTTGAGGTACGCATTGAGCGCCCTCTCCTCTGTTGTTGTCGTCGAAGACTCCAGCGTCCGCGACCAGCGGCGGTCCGATTGCTCGAGGCTGACGCGGGCTGCGCCGTGCAGCTCGCGCATCAGCGGCTCCATGGCATCGAGGCCGCCAGTGTTGGTCGCGGCGGCGCTGCGCTGCTGCTGGCTACCGCTCGTGTTCGCTGCCGTCCAGGGTCTCGTCTCACCGCCGCGCCGTCTGCCACGCTCGCACTCGGCTGCGGCGACGCTCTCGTCGACCGGCTTCGGCGTCCTCCTCATCCTCGCCCTTCTAGGCGTGGTGCGCTCGCCCATCAGGGCTGGCGCCTCCTGCTCAACCTCGCCTTCACTCCAAGCAGACGACGTGCCGACGAGACCGGGGACCCTCGCCGGCATCCGGGTGCCGAGATCGTCCAGTGCGCGTTCGAGCCTGCCGATGAAAAACATTTGATTGCGTTCCTGGCGCCGTATGTCGAGCTCCAGCCTCTCCTGGTTGAGGAGCATGTGGTGCGCCAGGTCTGACGTCCGCTCCGAGCGGCGGAGCGAGGCATAGTGAGCACGCAGCTCCGACGAGGACATGCGAAGCAGAGCGTGCGGACCTCGCTGGGGGACGAGGTGGTCCCTGTGGTAGGCGTCCACCTCAGGCAGCGTATCAGGCTCGCGATACGTCCGCGGTTGGAGCTGTTGGTGTCCCGGCCACTGGCCCGAAGCCCCCGCCTCGGTCTCGAGTCGGACGAGCGAGCTCGATGGAGCGATGAGCTGGGGCTCGTTGTGGTTCTCGTCCAGAACGTTCCATCTCGGCACGGCTTCGCCTGCTCGTCTGTTGTCTTCCGAAGTGGGCGTGAAGGAGATGATCACGTCATCGGTCCGCGAGGTCAGCGTCGAAGCGGACCAGCGTTCCACATAGACACTCAGCGGCTGGCTTTCCGACATGGGCAACATGGCACTGAGCCTCGAGATGGGCTGCAACACGGGCGGTTCGGATGACGCACCCGTGTCAACGGCCGACTCTGTGGCCTGATCGACATCCTCTACCGGCTCCATGTCAGGGACAGGCACCATGTAGCTCAGCCGCGAAGGAGCGAGACGCTCTTGCTCGATGCGAGGCAGCGTCGCCGAGTCTGATCGCCGGTGAGGGTTAGAGTCGCTGCTGACCGAGTCCAGAATGTTCATAAAACTCGCTTCCGACGGCGCGTAGCTGCTGATACGGTCGAGCAGAGGAATCGAGCTTGCCCAGCTGGTGCGCTGATAGCTGTTGTACCGGCGAGGCGGCTCGAAGCTCATCGTGCTATCCCTCTGGCCAAGCGATCCTGCCTCGGCGTCAGCCTCGGCCTCGGCTTCAGTCTCAGCCTCAGCCTCGGGCTGAGGCGTCAGGCTCGTAGATTCTGAGCGCTTAAGTGACTCTTGTTCACGGCTCAGGCTGTAAGCAATGTGCTCTGGTGCGCGATCCGCAGTGGGCGGACGCGGGAACTGGTTGGTAAAGTCAGACAGCAGAGGCCCGTCCCGGAGCGGCCCTTCGCGAGAGGGAAGCCGCAGGGAGCTGATGGACGTGCCCGCGGTCCGTGGCCTGCCGCCGCTCTGCGTAGAGCCAGAGGTCTGCCGGATGTGGCTGAGCTGTGCGCGGGCCAGCTCCATGTCACGCTGCTTCAGTGATTTGACACGTTCGGCTCGGCTCTGCCTGCGGGTGCTCATCTTGGCAGGCGCCCTGCGTGCCGCCTTGTGGAGGGGTGAGGCTGCTGCGACAGGGGGCGAGTACTTGGATGCAGGAAGCTGAATGAGTGACGCGCGGGGCGTGGCGCCGGGCGTTGTCTGCAGAACGACTGATGCGTTGGAGTGACCTCGTACTTCCCGGGCGTTCTGTACGACGGGCTCGGACCCCTCTGACACAATGCTCGTGGCGATTGATTTCTCCGAGAAGGACAGGGCGCTCGGACTGAGCTCGGGAAGCTCGATCGGAGCGCTGAGTCTTGTCGTCTGTCCTTGTTGGGTCTCAAGCATGCCGTCGATAGACCATTGATTCTGGCTGCTCATAGCTGCGGCTATGGGCGTCCTGAGGCTCGACTTGCGGGTCGGCAGCTTGATTTCTTCAGGGCGCTGCGCCCGCCTGGGCGAGGCGCTGGAGGCCGATCTTGGCGGCGGACCAGGGGCGGATTGGAGCATGTTCGACGTGGTCATCCATGAGACGTGGACCTTCCGAAGGCGATCTTCCATAATGGTCTCTGGCGTTTTTGGGCTCGACGTCGATGATCTCGGGACCTCGACATGGTCGTTGGGGTCCATGGGCATGGGTGCCCTGTGCAACTGGGCCGGCGTGCTCGGTGACTGGCCTTGGGTGCTGCCAGATGCTGTACTTGGAGGCGATCGTGGAGGGCTCAGAGGAATGTCGCGCTGCCAGAGTAGAACTGATGAATCGAAACTCTTGGGTTCCATCTTGGGCATTGCGTTTTTCTTGGAAGCCTTCATCATGGAAAGCCACTCCGAGTCTCCGTGTGCGGTACCGGGCGCGCTGACTGAGCCATGCTCGTGGCGGGGTCGCAAAGAACGATCTCGTGATCCCGATGACGTCCGCGGGTCGGGCGGCGGCGACGGCGGAAGCGGTTTTGTAGCGTTGAAAGCAGTGACGGCCCAGTCCGAGTCGGGTCCCAGGTGACAGTGCTCCATGGGGATAGATATGGCAATATGTGAGTGACCGCTCGACGTCTTTGAGGCCACGGCCGAGTCTGGCAGGGCCGTCCTTGGCCGAGTCTCGACCGACAGTGTTGGGGTAGGCTTGTTCAGTTTCGCACGGATTCTCTTACGAAGCTGGCGCCATTTCCCGATATCCTCGACCATGTCGGCATCTTCATCAAAGGCTGAGGCGAGGTAATTGTGCGGCGGTGGTGATTCTGTGCGGAGGAACTGGATGAGCTCGCTGATGTCTGACCTCTCGCCGTTGTCTCTGGCGCGAATGCGGCTGCC